ATTACCAGTGTACGTTTTTTCGTTTCTTGTTCTCGGTGTCTTATCGCTGTACCGCCGTTCATCGACGTAATACTCAGCATCAGTGTTTCGTAATACACAATGCGCTTTTTTTGGCTTTCGGAGCAGTGAGCCTTAACACAGAATGCGCCAGACGATGCCTTGTGATGTCCGAAGAGCGGGAGTGAAAACGATTTGTAATGAAAGCAAATTGGCGTAATTGCATTCCGATCCCAAACGTTCAACGACTGGCTTCTGTTTTTTTCTTCTTTTGCGGGAGACGTAAACAACGCATGTGAATGTTGACACGCGTAGGATGCGTGCAGTGTTGCCAGTCGTGTTTTGGCGCCGCGGCGTGTGAGAGGAGGCTTATTCCTCGCCCCTCGTCCCTGAAAGCAGATGCGCTGTGACGCTCTGTGTTTGGAGTGAGAGCCTCTCCGGCGCAGCACCCGACGGCGCCCTCGAGATGGAGATGATCAGAAAGAGGCTGTTCAGGGTGAAGGGCGAGAAGCAGGCGCGCGGCGACTCGCCCGACCCGGACAACGAGGGCGTGGACCTCCTGGTGGCCAAGCAGTTCACCTTCGACCCGGAGGCCAAGCCCGGCGACGCGGCCGGGGCCAAGGAGGGCAGGTTCATCCTGAAGAGGAGGACGTCCGACGGCGAGCTCTATTCGCACCGCAGGAAGGCGTCGTCCAAGCGGAGCTCGATCCAGGGGGCGACGTCGGTGACGAGCCTCGACGCCGAGAGGGCGCGGACCATCTACGAGATCGACGCCGGGAGCTGCGACTCCCTGGGCGGCAGGAGGCACAGGAGGCGCGACCGCTCCGCGAGGCGGCGGCCGGCGCGCCCTCGGACGTACCAGGAGGGGGAGCTGGAGCGGTGGGAGGGCGGCAGGGAGCTCAAGCAGAGGAGGAGCTCCGCGCACTCGACCAAGTCCTTGCTGGGGATGTCCTTGGCCGACGGCGAGGGCGAGAAGGTCGAGAAGAGGAGGAAGTCCGTCTTGTCGTGCAGGTACTGGAGGAAGTCTTCGGGACCGCGGGGGGACGGCAAGGACTCCGCGGAGGCCGAGAGGAAGAAGTCGACTCACTCCTACGGGTCCGCGAAGGACCTGGCGGCGCCGTCGCCGCGGGGGAGCGTCCAGATCCTCATCGACGGCGTCCCGCGGTCGGACTCCTCCCCCGCGATGGCCGGAGTCACGTCGGACACGGACTCGTCCGAGAGAGAGGACTCGAGCACGGACACGGACCGCGGAGAGGACGACGCCAATCTGGGCGACGAGGACACCGACAGGACGCCCACGGACTCCAGGACGCCCACGGGCTCGCGGGAGATACTCTTCTCCGCCGACACCCTCAAGTTCAGCACCGTCAGGAGGAAGTGCTCGCAGTGGCGGCTGAGGAGGCGCGGGAGGGGCCCCAGGCTCGCGACTTCCTTAGGTACTGCGCGGGGGGAGGGGGGGGTTGAAGAAGAGGGAGATATATATATATATATAATATACAGATATAATAGAATAAATATAATATATATAATATAGATATAAATCCATTATAATAATATGAATATATGTATGATACTATAATAAATATATAGTATATATAATAAATTAATATATTTATATATATATAACATATTATATATATATTTAATAAATTTATATTTATACTATATATATATATAAATATATAATATATATATATATATATATATATTACAAGTATACAATATATATACATACGTAATATATATAAACTTATATATTATATAATATATTTCTATATCTGTATCTATATCTATCTATTTATCTATCTATAACTATATTTATATTCACACACACACACACACACAGATTGAGAGAGAGGGAGAGAGAGAGAGAGAGGGAGAGAGAGAGAGAGCGAGAGGAGAGAGAGAGAGAGAGAGAGGAGAGAGAGAGAGAGAGAGAGGGAGAGAGAGAGAGGAGAGAGAGAGAGAGAGAGAGAGAGAGAGAGAAGGGAGAGAGGAGAGAGAGGAGAGAGAGAGAGAGAAGAGAGAGAGAGAGAGAGAGAGAGAGAGAGAGAGAGAGAGAGAGAGAGAGAGAGAGAGAGAAGAGAGGAGAGAGAGAGAGAGAGAGAGAGAGAGAGAGAGAGAGAGAGAGAGAGAGAGAGAGAGAGAGAGAGAG